GAATGGTGATTTGCAGAGCCACTCAGGAGCCTGGAAGAGGTGTTCCAACGCGTGTAAGTATGGAAGTGTAAGTAGAGGAGGTCAGTATTATGCTAATTACTAACACTCCCTCCTGGCCAACAGGAGGCAGAAAATTATAAAGACAATGATTTGACCAAGCCAAGTTCTTGAGGCATGGGGGCAATTATTAACTTCAGCAGTGTCTTTTAAGGGAAGGTAAAGACTGTAGTTCTTTTTAAGACACACGTGTGGACATTAAGAGATCTGTTCCAGCAGTCTTTCCAGATGTCTATTATACACATATTCCTCCCAGAAGTGATTATCAATTATGTGGCTTACAAATGCAATCTGTTCTCACTGCTGGAAGAAATAAAGGATAAATATCCTCAAAACAACACCACCACAATACCTCCTTGCTCTTTGGTTTAATAGAGAAGATGACGGGTTTCTAAAATGAAAGGAATAGCCAGGAAGCAAGTCTTCGGAAAAAGTCTCTGAAGAGCAGCAAGTGTTGAAGGGTCTACTGAGGAAAACTAAATGTTAAGATGGTAAAAAGAAAGAAAAGCAGTCAAGACCCACATCACTCAAGAAACTCTGAGCTTTCCTGACTGGGTTGCTCTGGCTATAAGCATAAATCAAACTTGGCTTGTATCTTCCAGCTTTTTAGGTTCTATCTTTGGGCTAATTCCAGTGCAGCACCAATATTGCTTCCTCTGGCAACACCGAGCATGAACAGCTCTAATCTGGGAGAAGAGAACCATGGGACAGAACAATGACCCCTTGGGGCAGGAGAAAGAGGATGATTTCTACAAAAGCAGGTGAACAGAAAGTTGAAAGTCTGGCAGAAGAAATGACTGGCATCTCTAACTTAACATCCTATCTAACAAGGTTGCTGTGAAGATCAGGGGACATTGAACAATGAAGAACATTTTATAATCTGTAAAATACTATATAAATGTAAGGTACTGTTTTCCGCATACGAGACTCTCAAAGGTTTAGTATCTTTGCTAACCTTTGGAAAGATTAACCCATCTAACTGCTATTGACATAGAATGACACAAAAATGGGATGCCTTTAGTGAATTAAGAATAGGGAGATAAATCCAGAAGATAGATCGCAGGGGGGTGGTATTTTTATAAAACAAAAAACAAAAACAAAAAGCTGTAGTAGGCGCCAAAAGACATCAGAAAATTATAGGTGAATTTTCCATGTAAGCATCACTTCTCCCCCAGTTTTGTCATAAACCAGCCCCTGACATCAAGGTTGCAGCAGATGGATTAATACTGTGGGGACCCAAAAACTAAACTCATTTTTTAAAATATATGTCAATCTGTCATCTGAATGTATATTTGCATTATTCTCTGATTTTCTATGTATTCAAAAACTCAATCTTTATTTGAGGAATATCATTTAAATAAATGATAAAACTGGAAGAATGTTAATCAACATAATGCTCAACTGAATTTGTTCTTTTCTGTATTTGTATCATTGGTAAGTTATTTTATCCTTCTCTGTTAGTGTATGAACTTCTTGCTTTCAGATGCTTATATGGTGTTTGTGTCAGATGATTCTTGCTAATAGTGAAGTAAGAAAAAATATATATATATATCCAGCAAGATACATATATATAAGATAGATAAATAAATGTATAAATATATAAATGTGTATAATATATATATGAAAATAAAAAAGATTTATATATCTTATATAAATATATCTTTTTATTTTTATATAAATAAATAAAGATACATATCTTTATATCTATAAATATATATTAAAAAGATATATATATATATTTAAATTTACTCCCTTTGGAAGTCTCTGCTGCCTTTATCTATTCTTGCGAAGTATAATATTTTACTGCAGTAACAAAAATCAAATTCTTAATCAATGGGGGTTATTAGCCATTTATACCTTAGTATGAATTTCAGTCAACATGGCTCCTCTCCCAAGAGCATTTGCATATGAACTTTACTAAGGAAAAAAGCTCCATTTATTATGAAAATAACCACATGTAGATTTCTTTTTTTTTTTCCTTTTTTTTTTTTTTTCTAGTAGAGTAAATAATTCTCCTCTTTGATGCTTGCTACCCTGACCCATACTGAGGTCATCAACTAGGGTTAAGGCCCGCTCAGCCATGGGAGGCTCGTATGTACACTTAGAGGTAGAGCAGCATGAGGAGTGGAGATCTAACCAGTGTGGGACAGTCCTAAACAATCAGGAAGATTGTTATATGATGGAGTAGGGTAGGAATTATATGCAAATATACACAACTTACCACTGATAATCAAAAGGGGTCTTTGAGAACCAAAGACTAAGTAACTTAAGCCCCAGAAGAACAAAGGTTGATAAAATGGGCGAAGAACAAAGGTTGATAAAATGGGTGATAAGCAAGTGTAAATCAGTAACTATAGAACAGACGATGATTTCTCCCAGTGAACCACTACGTCACGGCTTCATCCCCATGCATAACAATGTATCGTATTAATAGTCAAACAGAGATGAGATGTTGGTCAAACAACTATAAAGCCATAAATTTTGTTTATATTTTTTTGCTTTTGAAATAACTTTCTTTTTGGATATACACTGTATCTATGAATCTATCTATATAAATATGTAGGTATAGATATTTCCATTCTATAAACTAGAGAAACTTATCAGAAAGAAAGTAAAGACATTCTTCAAATCCCACCCACCAGGTTAAAAAAACAAATTAACTTTTAAAAGTTTGACTTCAGATACCTTATTCTACATATATGAGTAGGTAAATAGCTCTAAGTAATTCAAAGTGACATCTTGTACTATTTTAAATACATCTTTTTACATGTATTTTACATACATCTTTTATTTCCCATAATTTGGTATTTTGACATTCTTTTATCTATAATATTTCTACTCTGTTCTACATCTGTAGTTCCTAAATTGTTTCCTTATGGTCTATATTTAAATGGATTCACTGCTCAGCACCAAGCTTTTGGCCATTGTTTCTTCATTCTTTTTATTTCTCATATCTCATTTTTGATTATATTGTACCATTTGTGTTCCCAAAGGGGTTATGTGCTTGAGGCAACCTGATTTGCCCAGATTCTCTGGGTATAAAATTCATCAGTCATATTTTCCTATGAAACCTTCTAAGGAAATATTCTGTGACCCTATTTCTTCTCATTAAAGTTGATCTCTCAATGTCAGGACCTCCTTCAGGGAATACGGTATTGTCCTGACATCTAGAAATACATGTGCTATTTCTTTTTTCTTATACATTTTGCTCCAGATTTAATAGTACTTGGCTGGCCTACATCATAATTATTATTTGGTATGGCCAGTTCCTTGTTTCATGATTTTCTACCTACATTTTTTTGCTTGTTTGTTTAAAATGACTTATAGAAAAGGAATGAATTAAAATTCTCATTACTTTGATATCTTTAAGCAAAATTTTTGGTAACTTACAGTAACTCACCAACTCTGTCATGACCATAACCTGACAAATATCATATTATAAAAAGAGCATCCACTTCGACGCAGAGAACACACTGGTAGTTCCCAGAGGGAGTTCCCAGTAAAGTAGGTGAAAAAGGTCAAAGGTATCAATTTCCAGTTATAAAAGAAGTAAGTCATATAGTTAATAATACTGTACGACATATTTGAAAGTTCCTAAAAGTCCATATCACAAGAAAAAAAAAATGGTAAGTAGGCATGGTGAGAGATGTGAACTAGACTTATTGTGGTGATCAATTTTGCAATATATATAAAATCATTATACTGTGTACCTGAAGCTAATACATTACATGCCAATTATACTATAATTTAGAAAAGAGGAAAATTAATTACAAAAAAGAGCAGCTAATTAATACTACTTTTATATCAAAGCAGCATATATTTTAAAATTTGTATTCCTCCACTTCTGCCTGTGTATCTTCCACCGAATCTTTTTACTAATTAAGGTGCCTTCGTACACCTGTGAATTTCTGTGTATATTATTCTACCCCTTTCTTACATATTTTCTTCTCCCTTTTGGTCTTTCTGAATCTCTCTGATATCCCTTTCTCTCTTTTCACCTGTCATTTTTTCTTTCTTCTCCTCTTTTTTCTCTCTTCTTTTGGGTTTCCCCTGTTCTCTCTCTCTCTCTCTCTCTTTTTTTTCATCTTTGCTTCTTTGTTTCTTTCCTCCTGTTCTCCTTCCCTTCATCCCTTGCTTTTTCCTTCTATCTATATATTTTTTTCCTTGAATTGGCTGTGATGTGAATTTAGTATTTCCAGTTTTATTGAAGACAAATTATGGTCCCTGTGGTTTGATTCATATTTATCCAAGAAAATATTTTTTCTTTTCTTTTTAAGTTGTCCCTCATTGTTATTTATATCAGTGTTGTTTTAAAGCAAGAGAGTTTTAAGTTTCTGTCCTTAATCATTTTCTATGGATTGTTGTCTATTGCTGCCCTATGGATTATAGCCTATACTATTACTTTAAAATCCCAAACTCAAATTTTAGTTGCAAATGTATAACTGTTTTTTACAACACCTTTAATAACAAAATTAAATTTTGAGCCCTGGGGACAGACATTACCCAGGACCACTTTTTTTATCCTATCTTTTCAATGGATACTGTCCATATGTTACTAAAAATAAAAAATAAGTAGTGAATACAGAGTATTTTTTCATTCACTGTATACATATTTGAAATCAATTCATTGTAACTTTTTAAAAAAAAATGATTTTCCAATTAACAAGAACTTCCTTAACTCAGAATTTTTATATCATTTGGGATTCATTATCATGTACAAACTCTAAAAACTCTTCCCCTTTAATTTACCATCTCTTACTTCCAACACAAATTTTCTTACACCACCCCCAATAGTGACTACAAAAGAGGTTTATAGTATTTATGAGGTGTCTATTTATAGCTATTGCACTTTTTAAATAAAATATATTTTAGAAATGCAGGTTTAAATACAACACATCCTTATTTAACACATTTACGGATGAAGGAAATCAATTGTGTCTTACCCCCTCGCTTGTTGATCTTGGCGTAGCCCGGAGAATAGCTCCCAGACATGGACGATGAGCTGCTGAAAGCTCCATGGGAGAGCCCAGACACAAGCGGTTCATCACATTTTTCTGAAAAGAAAAGAAAAAAAAAGATTAAATATTTAAAAATAAGGACTGGTACTTTTAGTTAAAATACTTGTTGATTACAGTACAAATGTCAAAATCTATGCATTTAGCAAATGATCAGAATTTAGATAATTCAACTGTGATAATTTAAATGCCTGCTTTTTAAGAGTTGGAGCTATGATAAAAAGCTTTATGCTGAAGGTCCTCAATGCTGACCTGCTAAGGGTCATGAGGAAAGGTGGTGGTGTTTATATAACATGCTTTGGAAAAGCTGGCATCCTCTGGAAATCTTCAGGGATTTATTCATTATAGGGGTAGAGGCTTGGAAACATTGATTAGAAACATAGAGATTAGAGGACAGAAGACTAGGACGAATCTTACCAAAGTTAAAAAAGCCTCAGAAATAGGGGTCATTAAGGGAGAACAAGAATAATCACCACCCTGGAAAGCACGGCCATCTGAGCAATTAACCAGTTCCCACCATACAACCAATCAACGGCACTGGAATCAGATGATCCCTTGGTGCCATTCTTCACTTGGCTTCCACGGCCATTAAGATTTTGTGTTTCCTCCTTCCTCACTACTGCTTACTCTGATTCCTTCAATGGATCGCTCCCATTTTCCTAATGTCTAAATGTTAAAATGCCAAGGACTCAAATCTTGGAGCTCTTCTAGGTCCTCACATGCGCTCTTGGAAACTGCATCCGGAGTTGCATGATCTCATTCTGGAATACCCCAAATCCTACCCTGTCACATCACCTGGTCCAAGTGGCCATCAGCGATCACTGTTGTGAAAGACTGGATAGTCGTCTCCCTTCCTCCCTTGCTTCTCTATCGCTCTGCACACAGCAGCCTCTGGGATGCTTACAAAGCAAAGCGGACAGGTAGCTCCATGCTCATGATGTTCACTGACTCCTGCTCTCAGTTACTCCAAATAAAGTCTGATGCCCTCCAGTGGCCCATGGTGGCCACTGTACTTTCCCATCTCTCTCCAGCATCCTTGTCCATTGCTGTCCACCACTAGGACAGCATCCTTCTGCAACATCAGTCCAACTCCTGCCATGGCCTTCGGGATTACTCTTCCAGCTCCACAAGGCTCTTCCTTCTGGTCTCTGCTCAAGGTCACTTTCACTACTGCAGACAGGCTTCTCCAGTCCACTCAGCTAAATGAACTCAATGCTACTATCACACTTGGTCCCCACTTCTGGATTTCTTTTACTTCACAGCACTCAGAGACCCTAGCATGTATGTTTTTACTCATTTGTTTGGCTTCCTTTCTCTCCTACTAGAATGGATGCTCTATGGGAATCAGATCTTTGATAGTCTGCTTAATGCTTACTTTTCAGTGATGGGAACCCCACCTGGTACTTGGCACATGCTCTAAAAACATTCATAGAATGAATGAGTGAATGAATGAATGAGAAAGAGAACCAATGAAATCTGACGGTTGCAGAGTCCCAAAACACACTGCCAAATTACAAGATGGCATACCACTTAATTGTCAGAGATGTGGTCTTCAATACTCCACAAATGTTGACGCACACTCAGTACTGTTTAATAAGGCAGAGAGTTACACTACATATTCTAGAATGCATTCTACCTCCGATATTTATAAATGGGAGAAAACTTAAGCAAAAGAAGGAATGAACTAGTTTTCTTGAAAAGTCACTCAAGTAGAGTGAAGTCCCCAGTGATACCAGGGAAATGAATAATTATTCATTATCTCACCACTCAAGTGTGTACAAATCCGAAGTTAAAAATGAACATATCCATCCTCGTAAAATATAGTTAGATTTCTTATTTTTCTTAGTTATGCTGCAAGTACCTCTGGGAAATATGGATCTGCGTATGAATATATTCCCCAGAAACCTAACTGTGAAAGGATGAAAAGATGAACATAAAATTTATTTTTAAACTACCAGTTCACGAAGTAAGAATCTACAGTGAAGGATTTTTGTCTTAATTGTTAAAAATTTTTGCTATTCTGTGAACTGCCAGTGAGCACAAATATAAAACCTTGATTTCTTAAGTGCTGACTCTTTTGAATCTAACATTTTATAACCTTTTGACAAAAGTTCTGCATTGACTTGGAGTAATCATTACTTCCAAATTTCCCATTTTATTAGGAATGTGCTAACATGCATTCCTTTTTATCTCCTTCATTCAAACATGCACCCAACACCAACGCTGAGCCAGGCACAGCAAAAACAGTAGATGATACCGACAACATTCCTGTCATGGAATTTATGTTTTAGTGGGAACTAAAAACTAACTAAAACAAAAACAAATAGGTAAAAGCAAAAAGGTTAATTCATATGATGATAGGGTGATAAATACTAGACATGTTAAATATGAAAGAAGGGGATGCTGGTTAGAGGATAAGGTAGAGATAGAGAATGCCTATTTTTTGCTACTTTGCCAAGGAGAGTCTGTTGCATTAGGTGACATCTGAGTAGTAATCTGAAGGAAATGAGGTGAGCTCTGCTAGAAATCAATAAGATCGTGAGGGCAGAAGTGTTTTCTAGTCTAAACCTGCTCAATAGGGCTAGCTTCTGCCTGAAAATGAGTGACTCATCTTCCAAAATTGAACATTCAATGCATATATGTTACATTGAGAGTAATTAAAATGAAGTTGATGAATAATTGATTAAGTGATCCATTAGCTACTTTAAATTTATAATTTAAATATAGCATGTATAAAACCTAAACATACTTTATCCTTATTATATCTAAAGACTTTGTACTTCCACAAGTTGATCATCTTCATATTGAATTTTAAATTTTTCATTAATTTAAAAAATCATATAAATCAGAATAACAAAATTAGAATAAAATTGTGATTAGGAAGCTAAGAGCATACAGGGGATAGAAGAAATTTTTTGTGCGTTTTTTTTTTTTTTTAGGTAGCTGCAAGATTATTATTATCAGAATTTAAACATTGGCTATATTACATCCTTCTAAATTCAGATATATAATCCATAGCCACATATTTAAGGAAGAATAATGCTATGTATACTGTATGTTCTCCTGGAAGACTTTAATAACAAATATTCATTGAGATCTTACTCTGTGCCTTGTACTGTTCTAGCTACTTTGGGCAATCGAAAAGTAACCCATTTCCCCATGAGTCCAATAATATATAGACCCACATAAAGTAATTAAGCATGAAATAAGAGGATAATATCAAACAGTTTGTAATCAGTGCTGAATAAAATACAATCAAGAACTAAAAGTAATAGATACATTTTTAATTTTTTTAATTTTTATTTATTTTTAATTTCTTTTCAGTGTTCCAGAATTCATTGTTTATGCATCACACCCCACCCAGTGTTCCATGCAATAGGTGCCCTCCATAATACCCACCACCAGGTTCACCCAATAGATACATTTAAAATGCAGGGCTGTTGTTTAGTGATTTGCTTGTTACTGTTGGCTCCAACATAAATGTGTGACTTTGTCACTTAACCCCCTTTCTACTGATGACTCATTCATAATATGAGCACATTAGCTAACCTTCTCTCAAGTTTTAAAACTCCAAGCATTTTCAAGTAGTGGAGTCCACACACGGTGTCCTACAGGCCAAAATGTGGCCCCCAGCTCGTTTTTGTAAATAAAGTTTTATTGGAGCACAGCCATGCTCACTCAGTTATGGCTGCTTTCAAATCCACAGCCGATGATACAAAAAGAGGCCATATAATCACCAAAGCTGAAATATTCACTATCTGACCTTTTACAGAAAAAAAAAAAAAAAAATTCCAATGTCTGGTCTAGAATGACAAATACTCCAGGTATCCACAAGAAATAATGATTCATCATCACCTATGGTATTATGTAACATATAAATAATGAATATGACCTTAAGAATTGAGGGAATATAGAGAGGTGGAAAGAGGGCTAAGAACATTCTAGAAAGAGTACTTTTTGCTCAAAGTACAGAGGCCACAATGGGTATCAAATTTTTCAGCAGGCTACATGTACATATTGCCCGCCAACTACTGTGATGAACTATCCGTTTTTTTTTCAAACTATAATAATGGTTATTACGTATTATATATTCCAAAGACTCAGCCTGTTTGTTGTATTAGAACATGTATCTTAATAATTCTGCAGATAGAGGCGCCTGGGTGGCTCAGTAGGTTAAAACCTCTGCCTTCGGCTCAGGTCATGATCCCAGGGTCCTGAGATTGAGTCCCACATCGGGCTCTTTGCTCAGCAGGGAGCCTGCTTCCTCTCTCTCTGCCTGCCTCTCCGCCTACTTGTAATCTCTGTCAAACAAATAAATAAATAAAATCTTTAAAAAAATAATTCTGCAGACATTAAATATTACTAAATCAGGCAAATCGCTGGGGAAAGTTAGAAGTTTTATAGAGGAGGAGAAGGACAAGGAGGAGGAATAGAAACAGAGAGAGAAGAGAGAGGAGAGAGAGAGAGAGACAGAGACAGAGATTGCTAACATTTGAAATAATTTGGTATTTTATTTTCCCATAGTGGGATGTCTTCCAAGACTATGGCCACACAACTATGGCAAATATTTGGTCTCCAGTGTACTTCCCTTCCAGGGAATCTTGGATGAAAACTAAAGAAACAGATGGGCCTTGAGTTTTATTTTCACACAATTTCAGTCAATCAGGAAGTCAGACTAGCTGTAAGAATTCTGTACTAATTCATGCTGGAACAGAGGAGATTATTGACAGACAAAGTTGTCCCTCTCCTAAGAGAACCTGGCTGAGAGGGGCCTCTTTAGCAAAGGGATATGGGCAGGAGTTTACCAGGTCAAAGAACTTTAGAATGCACGCCATTGACATTAAGATGGCATTTAAATGCATCTCTGAGGAAGAATAATGTTGGAAAATTTTCACTACACACTGCCTTTTAAATATACATGTTTTCTACCACACATTTGGAAACATAAGCCTGATACACAGAAAACAAGAACAACAACAAAAGACTCCAGAGCCAGGGTTCTGAGGACAGCAATTCTAGCAACATCTTCCTTCATAGTT